GGGGGGGCGCCCGTTGTGGGTTGAGGGCTGTTCCCCGCTGAATGACCATGGTAAGATCAGGAGTCTGACACCCTGAAGCCTCCCTCCACGACACCTTGCGGCAGGTGGAATGACCTGGGGCTGGGCTACACCACCACCCAGGGCCTGGAGGTGCTGCGGGAGGAGATCGCCGCCCGCCACTTCACCAAGACGGGAAAGGACGACATGCTCCTGGACGCCCCTGGCGATGCCATGTACGTCGCCATGCGGGCCCTGCTCAGGCCCGGGGACCACGTCATCTGCACCTTCCCCGGGTACCAGTCTCTGTACGAGACGGCGCTGAGCATCGGCTGCGAGGTCACCCACTGGGAGGCGCAGGAGACGTGCGTATGAGGGAAGGGCGCGGCTGAAAGGATCTTGGGCGGGTGGGGCCTTTGGCGTTTGGGGTCCTGGTGCGGGAGCCCAATCCGTGCCTGCTGCTCCGAAAGTTGGGCGCTTGCCCTGCTCGATAACTTGCCCCATGCCTGCCAACCCTGTCCCAGGCCTGCCATGCGCAGATGCCGCACCCCTCCCTCCACCCCTGCCCGCCCCTCGCCTCCTCTACGCTTGCAGGGCGGAGGGTGTCCCCGTGTTTGACCCCGCCTCCCTGCTCACCCTGGTCCGCCCCGCCACGCGCATGATCACCGTCAACTTCCCGCACAACCCCACCGGCTTCCTGCCGAGCCACGAGGAGTGGGCACGGGTGGTGGCCGCCGCGAGCGGCGTCGGCGCCTACCTCTTCGCCGACGAGATGTATCGGGGGCTGGAGGCGGAGGCGGCGGACCGCCTGGTCCCCGCCGCCGACGCTTACGAGCGCGGCATCAGCCTGGGCGGGCTCAGCAAGTCGGTGGGCCTGCCGGGCCTGCGCATCGGCTGGCTGGCCTGCCGGGACCCGGAGGGTGAGGCGCTATCTTGGTGGTGTGGGAGGGGACTTGGGCCGGGTACGGTCTGGACCTGCAGACCTGCCGTCGCCAGGGCTGGGAAGCAGAGCCTTCCCCTCTCCCGTCCAGGACTCAAACAGGCGCCGTGCACGCACACCCTCGCATCCTCCACCCCCGCACCCCCCGTCCAGTGATCAAGCGTGCGCTGGAGGTCAAGGACTTCACCACCATCTGCTCCAGCGCGCCCTCCGAGATCCTGGCGCTCGCGGCGCTCCGGCGCTGGGACCTGCTCATGCACCGTCAGCTGGGCATCCTGCGTACCAACGCGGCCGCGCTGTGCCGCTTCGGCGAGCGCTGGGCGCGCCTGCTCGGGGTGTACGCCACGCGCGGCGGGACCATCGCCTTCCCCAAGGTCCTGGTGCCGGGGTTGTCGGTGGACGCGCTGGCCGACGGGCTGCTGGAGGAGGAGGGGGCGCTGATCATGCCGGGGTCGGTGTACGAGGCGCCGCAGCACGCCCAGCGCCTCCGCCTGGGTTTTGGCAGGGCCAACTTCCCGGAGGGCTTGGCGGCGTTCGACAGGTACCTGGAACGCCACTACGGCGAGTATGCCGTGGTGTCGGAATGAACAGTGTCTAAGATGGCATCGTCAGACGTGTGAGAAAGTGCAAGGACGCTGTGCTCCAGCGTGGGTTGATGACCGGCAAGTAAGGCTTCACAGATCCTTGCGCGCCAAGCGAGTTGGACCTGCCGCCGCGCGAATGCGCTCGTGCAGTGTGCAAGGAGGGAGGCTACACGACAGTGCCTCACAAAATGCCATTGGAGAACCAGGCAAACGAGCTGTGCACTCCAGGAAGGCACCAGCTGCACTCGATAAGGACATCTCAAATAGGCTTGCCTGCCTGCCCTCCATGGCATCTCACTCTTCCAGGTTGATGGCATTGCCGAATTTGGCATACAGGGTCTTCTTCAGCGCTGCCATTTGCTTCAGCAGCGAGGCCCTCTCATTGGACAAGGCGGCACACTGGCTCGTGCCCTCGTTGGCAGCTGGGCGGGGAGGGGATGAAAGTGTGCTTGCTTACCCAGTGTCTAGATATGACCCCTTCTCGCACCACCCGGGCGATCGTGCCGAGAGCCGGAGCCAGCAGCTCCCCGCCCCACCTCCACCCCTCCACCACTTTGCCCCTCGAGACCCACCCTCTTGCAGCCGGGCCTCTGCGACCTCTTTCTCGAGATGAAAGAAGCATTCCCCCACAAGGTAAGGCACTTCCTCGTCCTCGGCCAGCATCAGCTCGTTCTCCGCTTCCTCGATGTCCTCCGCTGCAGCCTGGTGGGGGGTATTGGTGCCGGGTGGACCGACCGTGTCTGGCAAGGTCGGGGTACCTGCCAGAACCGGTTCGCTACCCATGGTTGAACCAAACAAGAGTGCCTACCTTCAGAGCTTTGAGCTTCGCATTGATCTCGTGGACCTTGGTGTTCAGTCGGCTGAAGTGGTTGATGTTCTCCTGGTCCGCTAATGTAACATCCATGGAGCGCCGAGGTAGAAAGAATCTATACTGGATGTATTAATTCTGTGTTTCCCTGCCAATTTAGGCGTGCGAGCCGTGGCGTGGAGATTGTACAAACTCCTCCGTCTGCAGGGACTGCAGAACTATGGAGGTTGATCTCACAAAGCGATGATCCGCGGCCACAAAGGAGTATGAAGTATTGTGAGTGTAACAGTGGACCCAAAGGATGTACTCAATCTTTCAATGAACGCAATGCCTTGGTACCGGGCACCGTCAAAAGTCAAGGCGGAGAAGACTTCCATCCTTTCCAGCTGGTCTGATTCGTGGCTCAAGTGCACCCGGATTGGCACCCCTCTCGCGACCACATCCGACTCCGAAATCCGGCCAAAACAGCTTCTCGTTGTTCTGGGGCGGCTTTCTGCCATGCAACCAAAAATAATGACGGACTGAGTTTCGAGAGCCTTCTCGCACCGCCCCTGCTCGACCACCCGCCCTGGTCAGGGCGGGACTCGGTGGCTATGGTGGAGAAGTGCTCCCCCGGCAAACGCCGGGCGCCCGACAAGGATGGCAATGCGGCAGCAGATGCAGCCAGGGTTTCGCCTGTTGAGCATGAGCTACTCGACCTGGCCATCATGTGGTTCCGTCGGGACCTGCGCCTGGCGGACAATCCTGCCCTCGCAGCCACGGCCCGCATGGCCAAGAGAGTGGTGCGTGGGCGCGGGACCCGGCACGCCGGGCCCTGCCTCGCACTTGGCGCACCCAGGCGGGATATTGTTGCCCGGTCGATTGCACTGCTCCGCGGAGCCTGCGCCCCGTTACGCCCTGGTCAAAAGGCCCCCTCCTGGGCCTGTCCTCCACGGGGAAGCTGCCTGGCGCAGGGGGCCCTCCATCGGGCTGCACGCTGTAGCCACCCTCACCAATATCCATCCGCCCACCCCTCGCTCCCTCCCCCCTACCCTCCTGTAGCTCCCGGTGTACATATGGTCCCCCGAGGAGGAGGGCCAGTTTCAGCCGGGCACCTCCTCACGCTGGTGGCTGGCCGCCAGCCTGGCAACACTGGCCGCCGACCTGGCCGCGCTGGGCTCCCGCCTGCTCCTCCTCCGCGCCTCCGACTCCGGCGCCGCGCTGTGTGAGCTGTGTCGCGACACCGGGGCCCGCGCCGTGGCCTTCAACCACCTCTACGACCCCGTGTCCATGTGTCGGGACGCCGAGGCACGCGCCGCGCTGGCCGCCCTGGGCGTGGCCTGCCACCCGCTCCCCGCTGACCTCCTGTGCCAGCCCTGGGAGGTGCTGCGCGCCGACGGCCGGCCCTTCTCCGACTTTGCCAGCTTCTGGGAGGCGCACCGCCGCTGCCTGTACCTGCCGCCCCTGCCCCGCCCGCGCCGCCTGCCGCGCGCGCCGCCCGCGCCCGCCGGCCTGGCGCCGTCCGACCTCAACGTGCACGGCGATGCGGCGACCGGCCAGCTGGGGGACCACCTGGCGCAGCACTGGGCGCCGGGGGAGGCCGGCGCCGCGCGCGCGCTGGCCGGGTTTGCGGCCACAGGCCTGCCCGGCTTCAGCGTGGACCGCGCCAAGGGCGACCGGCCCTCCACCTCCCACCTCTCCCCCCACCTGCACTACGGCGAGGTCAGCGCGCGCCAGGTGTTCGCGGCGGCGGTGGGCGCAGGCGAGGCGCGGCGCGCGCCGGACTCGCTGCATGCCTTCCTGCGCCAGCTGGCCTTCCGCGAGTATGGGCGGTACCTCGCCTTCCACTACCCCTTCACTCTGGACCAGCCCATGCTGGGGCATCTGCAGGCCATGCCCTGGCACTACGACGTGGAGCTGTTCAAGGTGGAGGAAGGGAGGGGGGGGGGGGGAGCAGGCTGGAGGGGTGTGAGTGGGGAGAGGGACAGGTCGAGCAGTCTTCATTTTTTTACAAAGTGCCAAAGCGCACAGAAGGAGTGAGAGCTTGCCTGTTTCTCAGGGGGATATGACGTTCGGCGGTGCCGTGCTTGTCCCCTGGCGCTCGTACCCCGTCACTCTTGCACTGCCCTGCAGCTTCCATCTCGTCGCAGTTCCCTTTCCTCCATTGCAACCCCCTACCCCCCCCAAAAAAAACAAACCCACTCTATGCAGGCCTGGAAGCGGGGCCAGACGGGGTACCCCGTGGTGGACGCCAGCATGCGCCAGCTCTGGTCCACGGGCTGGATCCACCACCGCGGCCGCGTGGTCTGCGCCTCCTTCCTAGTGAAGAACCTGTTGCTGCCCTGGCAGTGGGGCCTGAAGCACTTTTGGGACACCCTCATCGACGCCGACCTGGAGTCCGACAGCCTGGGCTGGCAGTACTGCGCCGGCTGCCTGCGCGATGGCCATGCCCTGTCCCACATGGTGGACCTGGCAGAGGAGGCCGCGCGGTACGACCCCGGCGGCGCCCACGTCCGGCGCTGGATACCCACCCTGGCACGCCTGCCCAACTCCCACATCCACTCGCCCTGGACCGCGTCCCCAGACCTGCTGGCGGCCGCAGGTGGGCGATGAGAGAGGGGGAAAGGGGGGGGGGCGGGTCCTCTGAGCCACTAGCACTGACGAGGGGGGGGGGAGGACCCTTGACATTCAAGGAGGGAGGGTGGGATTGGGGATGGGAGGTGGGCATGGATTGGAGTGGGGGGTCGCAGGTGCAGGACAAAGCTGCGTGGGCTTGTGGCAGGGACCGTCTCTGACCCCTCGCACCTGGGTGTGATGCCCTTCCACATCGCGAGAAACTCAAGCCCCACACATGACCCCTGCCCCTCCCTGCTCCCCCATCGTCAGGCATCCAGCTGGGGGAGGACTACCCCTTCCCAGTGCTGGACATGCCCAGCATGCGCAGCACGCTGGATGCGGCCGCCAAGGCCATGGACGAGGCCGCGGCGGAGGAGGCGGCGGCGGAGGGCGGGCGGCGGCCCAGCCAGGGGCCCTTCCGCCCGTCCACGCGGCGCCCAGACCTCACCACCTGCTCGGCCCTCCCCGCTTTTGCCGGGTGAGCAGTCTGTTTGGTGTGGTGGGGCGGGTGGTAGGTGCGCGGTGATCAAGAGACGAGCGTGATGTGGTTGGTGCAACAGTCCTGTGCCATGGTGCTGTGGGTGACACCCGCGACACAATGCTTTTGGGTAGGGCGTGGCTCGTGTGCCCATGCATGTGGTGCTCTCTCTGAGTTTGTCAGGGAGGTCCCAAAGCCCATGGGCCACAACCATTCCTCAAGCACGCACTGCCTTCTTCCGTCCAGGGCCCAGCACTCCATAGGGACCGTCATGAACAGCCTAGACAACCAGGCCAGTTTCTCAGTGACAGTCGACTCCTCAGATGGTGTTGCAACGGAGCTGGGCGCCGCCACCGCTGGTTGCCAGCTTTCGGATGGCACCCAGTAGCCCACACATACTCTTCATTAGGTACAGATACAGTCACCTCTCCATTTTACCAGGGAGGGGTCTCAGACACCCCTATAGACTTCCCTTCTGAATGCTCTACGGCTTTCTTGAGACTTGTTGTATGCTTTGACAGGGTTTTGACTTTGGAGCATGGCCGTGCTCCCACCTTCACACATCCCTCCGGCAATACTGCCGCCGGTTCCGCGCACTGGGCGCTTTAGCACAATGTGCCACAAATCTGGCATGCGGGCGCCAACGCTGTGAATTTTGCAACCTTATACCGTCTTTCATGATCAAGCGGGGCTGGTCGACTGGTCATGTCGAGGTGCTGGTCCCCGACATGCACTGGCCACTGATTCGTCATTGGCGTACGCCTCTCGCACGCAAAACTCACGCCAGACAAAAGTCGCGCAACGCCCAATCCTTGAATTGCAGTCATCTTCCAGTGGACCCTAAACATCGATGGATGTCCAGTCAACGACTCATTCGAAGGCAGTGGGGACCCTTAGAGCGACAGTCACGGGGCCCGTTGCGGACTCTGTCGTTAGCGCTACTGCTCTGCGCTTGTAGCCAGAATGGCTCTATCACGAGCTATGCGACCGGAAGTCCAACTCGCGAGTCCCTCCTGCCGGAATGCGGGCATGGACGGAGGTCACAGCTCAGGCTGCATGCACCGGGACGCGTTCTTCCGGGCGTCGACCTCCAGCGCGGCTCCTGCACAGGCACGACGACCGACTGTACCTAGCCTGAGCCGGTGAGTAGACGAATCCCAGTACCATCCGGCTGCGAATGTCATTGGCAGCTGGACGTGGCCGCATGTCCTGTGCCTTGTTGCCATCGTCCCGGCTCCGGGGTGGTGGGCAGTCGGATGTCTGGTCCCAGGTCGTGAACAGGGCCCCCTCCCCTCCCATGCAGCCCCTCGCGGTGCCACGCCATGGCGTGCAGAGCCCTCCCTCCCGCTCATGTGGCGCAGCAGTCCATGCCGTCCACCCATCCCCTTCTGGGGACCCGATGGTTCCAGGATGCGGTACGGGATGTGGCCAAGCACGTGAGCGAGGGCCTGCCCTTCATGGAGCTCGTCCAGCTGCACGGACCCTGCTCCGGCAAGGCCCCCCACTTCTCTTCCTTTAAAGTAGAGGACGACGTGGTCAGCGCCCCCCAGGTACTGGAGGATGGGGATCACGGGGACGGGCTTTGAAGCATATGGGCAGGATCACCGATGGAGGCCCAGGAAAATATCATGGTTTCGCCACAGTCTTCCTGTGTCATTTTTCGCCTTGGCGCCGCAACAGGCGCCAGACGGCAACGTTCATGATGACCTGCACTGCATCCACCCAATCGTGACGTGAAAACGCTCCCCTGTCCCCCTCATCCTTCAGTTGTGGCGCAGCATCGCGGAGTGCCTGAGCGGGGAGGACCCCGATGTGGTCATGCTCTGCAAGCGCGTGGACTCCGCCGCGGATGTGGGCGGCCAGGCCTCGCCGTCCTCGGACACGGTGACGGAGGTGAAACAGGCCTGCCGCGCACTGGTGCGCTCCGGCATCGCCCACGCCGTCATGCGCGGACGCGTCGGCGACTGCTGCGAGGAGGACGCGCCCTGGGACGACCGTGGCGCGGGCCCCGGGTTCTGGTCCCGACACCACCACCGCCCCCATGGCAAGGCCGCACGCGTTGGCCAGGCGCAGGAGGTCAACTTCTGGGGCCTGGTGGTGCAGTCGCGCGCGCACACGGGCGCAGAGGGCTGCTACCTGCTCAAGACGGTGCGCAACGTGGAGCCAGCCACCGACTGCTCCTGCACGCACTACTCCCTGACCCGCATCTGCCAGGGCGAGGGCCTGGAGGGCCAGTTCGTCAAGAGCTGGCTGGCTCGGTCGTGAGGCATGCCCACAGATGGTCACCTGCTCAGGCATACCCTAGGATTTTTATCCCACGTTCCCCCTTCATAAGACTCTCCTGCTCGTACCAGCAGCACTTGTACAGCCCCCTGGCACGCTCGATACATGCTCTGTGCCCGGCACAGGTCGGACTGTACCTTGTCCCTCTTTGCCCCGATGGTTTTCCCCCCTCTGTGTACCCAGTTTTTCCACTTGCTTCCCGCTTGAGCTCGAGTGTGAATGTCTCCAACACAGCATTGCACAAGGGGCGTGAGAGGGTGCTCGATGCAGGCTGGCAGGCCGCGAGGCGGCCCGGAGGCTGCGCGAGTGTCTAGTGCCAGCAGTGAGGTTGGTGGCAATGTGACAAGCAGTGGTTCTGAAGGAGCAGTGTTGGACGCACCCAGATGTATCGAGTCGTGGGAGGCATCACGAGGGGACCCTAGGCAGTTCGGCGCAGGATTCAGGGAAGGCAGGGGCAAGGACCAGCCTCATCTTTTGGGGGCGGAGAGGAATTGCAGGGAGCAGGGTGGCACGGGGGGCAAAAAATGGGGGTGGTTGGGCACACGAAGCAAGCACGATTGCCATGCAGGTAGCCGTAGAGAAGAGAGGGAGGGCATCCTCGTCGCAGATTCTGCACCCCCTCTTGAGAGTGCCCCCTACCCAAAAATTTTGTCTGCGGGAGGGAGGGTTTTGCCAGGGGTGGAGTCAGGTGGCTGGCCTGCAATGGAGCGCTTGAGGCCGGCAGCTTGCCATGAACAGCCTCGCTGCCGCTGCAAGATGCAGTGCGCACAGATGGGAACCCCCCTGCCTTCCCATTCCACCTCCCATCACCCGCGCCTGCGCCTCACATGTGGACCAGTTGTTGATGATGTTGCGCGCTGAGGCGATGGTGGCGGCGGCACTGACCAGAACCATGGATATCTCGATGGCGTACAGCATGTGGTTGAAGGCGCCTTGGGGTTTGAACACGATGCGCCTGTAGGGATGAGGGGAGAAGAGAGGTGAGGAGGTGGGTGTAGGGGTTGAGGCAGCTTTCTGGACCAGCCCTCGGTGGCCAGGGCCAGGTCACTCTGCGCCAGAATGGCTGCTGCCCACGGTGTGAATCCGGCAGGGAGTGCTCATTGGCACTGCCCTCCGTTGCGAGGGGGGGGGGGGGTGGCTGCGTGGGGTCGCTGCAAGTCTGCGATGGCCATGCGCGAGACTCCTGGGCCCGGCTGGCACCACCGAGGGTGTTCTGCCCCCACCCCTCCCATCCCTCCCCGATCGGTGCACGCACCAGCAGCGGATGGGGTAGAATACGGAGAGGGGGAAGAAGGTGATGGCGCCCACCAGGCCTGCCATGTCGCTGAAGAAGGGCATGATGCAGGCGACGAGGGTGGTGAAGAAGACATAGGCCGAGCGGATAGCGATGCGCTGCCAGAGGGGCAGGTAGTCGTGGTCGGCGTTGCTGGGCACCTCCTGGTTGGCGAAGCCGGTGGACACGCGGTACATGGAGGCGGTGGCGGACAGGCGGTGCAGTCGCTCCCCGGTCGAGGCGGAGATGCGGTGCAGCCTCTCGCCCGCGGCGGCCGACACGCGGCGGAGGGCGGTGGGCGGCCCGGCTGGGGCGCCGGCCCCGGGGCCAGCGGCGCCGCCGTCCTCCCCCGGGCTGGGGCCCCCTTGGGCAGGCTTGGCCTGCGCCGCCTGCGCCGCCTCGCCGGCGGGGGGCGCGTCCTCGGCGTCGTGCAGGGTGCGCCTGCGCCGCAGGCTCCAGGCCTTGATGTGGGACTCGATGGTGTCAAACATGGGCTGCGAGTAGACCTGGAAGGCTGACACCATGTGCAGCAGGATGCCTGTGTGGGGAAGGAGGGGAGAAGGGCGAGGTGAGTACTTCGAAGGGGGGGGGCTGGGGGCGTTGGCGGGGAGGGGG